TTTACAAATAAAAAAGCAACGGCAAGAATTAGATCTGACAGCTTTCTGTCTCTGGATTGTTGGAGCATCTTGAGCTGAACCAGCTGAAGGAAAAACAAAGAAATCAATGAAAAAGGAATCCCTTTTGTTTTACTACAGAACAGTTATTCTGTAAGTTCAATTGAGTGTATCACAGAAACATTTTTCTCACCACTCAAACATGCCCAGTGTGCTCACAAGCATTATGATTCCCACAATCTTCACTATAGTGTAGACACCAACCAGTATGCCAGCTGAAATCAAACCAGATTTTAGTGTTAAATGTATGTATGAAGTGACAAAATGAAAATAACTAACTAACCTACTTTACCTTCATTGTAAGTAACAGTCACATGACTCTCTGCTGATGTCTGATTACCCAGATCATTAGTGGCCACACAGTAATAAACTCCTCCATCTGTTACATTGAAGCTGTAAATCTCTCCTTCAGATACTTTCACAGCTCCATCTCTGCTCTTCTTGAACCAGGTGAAGCTGCTGACTGGAGGTTTGGCTCTGCTGGAGCAGGTCAGGTTCACCCAGCTGCCTGCTGACACCAAACCTGATGGACTGATGGATGCTGAGGTGTCTTTAGGAGCATCTAAGAAAAAAAAGCGAGTTAGATAACTATTTTTCACTATAGTATTCAGTTGGCTCTCGTTCATTGCTATGGTATGATTTCTCTGCGCCTCATACTGACACTTTTTATGATTTCTTTATAGTATACACTATATAACCATCATCAACTTAGCTTCACATTTATCTCTACAACCCTTTATGCTGCTTAACTCTGACCATGAGCACCATAGTCATTGTGCATTAGTCACTTTACATCCAACACAGCGGTACTTTCACCCCACTGCACATGGAGTTGAAAACTTGCAGCAGAGTTAAAATCTTTTTAACTCTGCTGCCACAAGGACAGATGCAGAAAATCTTTACCACCAGCAGCGCTAAATTTAGACTCCCTACATTATCACATATAAATTTGTATTCATAGAATTAGTTTCACATTTTGACTGCTGTAACACAATCATTTCAAGATAAATTAATTATTTCTTTTTTCTTCATTTTTAAAATTTCATGGATGACTGGGCTGTCCTTATAAAAACTACTTAAAAATTATATCCCACAAATCATGATGAGCTGACAGGTTCAAATAACAAACTCTGATCGTCTTACATGAAACACTGAGAGTCTCTTCTGTCTCTGCTGTCTTGGTGTCGTTTCCTTGGTTCACAGGATATCTGGCAGAGCAGCTGATCTTCTTTCCATCATGTGTGTCTGACAGAGTGATGTTCTGCTGGATTTTAGTTGTAAAGCTTCCATCTGTGTTTTCCTCTATTTTGTTGTGAGAGTCTTGTTGGAGATTCCAGGTGAGTTGAGGAGGGGAGTGTGGACAGGGAGTGAGAGCTGAGCAGGTTATAGTGACAGACTCCTTCTCCTTCAGATCACCTGGGATTGTAATATTGGGCCTCCAAGGAGAATCTGTGGTTTCACATCACAGACATCGTTTAAAAAAGAGTTTAATTGGTGTGCATTTGCAGGTTTACTGATATGCACTAAATAGCAGTTTAACAAACCCATCTATAAAGCAGTTGAGACTTAGTATGTAATCCACTGAATGCACCTATGTACAACTCAATGAAACATTATGAAACAAACGGTACAAGAACAACACATTTAAGGATAAAATGTGAGACATTGGATTAGTTTTGAATAACATAGACATTATTAAACAATCTATTTAAAAACAAAGTTGAGGCGAGGGTGAAAAAATACTAGAAATATTGTGTAATGTCAAATTTTTTTTTTTTTGGTTTTCAGAACTGAACATGTGAGGGATTTATCATTCTCAAAGAGTGTTGAGGTAAATAGTTAAACAATGTTAAAAAAAAAAGTTCTCAACAGAAAACATGCAAAGATTGAAGATTGTGTACAGGGATTTCTATAAATTCTATAAGTGACAACCAGTGGTCAAAACAGTGTAGCTGATTTGTATTCTAAAGATGCACAAACACTACTGCTTTCTCTGTATGTAAGATCTCCTAAACAAGTAACAGCTGAAAATAAAATAAAATAAATAAATGATAATAAAAAAAAGGTCAATCAAATGGACCAATACGGCAAGACTGTGATGATCCACTCTGTAAATTAAATCCGTTGGGCATCTTTCTTGGCCTTCAGACAATAATCCCGATGACTAAAGAACCAAACGGGTTCTTTATTCGTAGGGAAAGAGTCCATGTGCTTAATCATTTTCAAGGTCAGGTTCTGGCCTTAAAAATGATTTTGTATATTATGCAACAATGAAAATTATGTTTGTCTCAGACTCAGAAAAATTCGATGTTCTTTCTTTCTATTTTACTTATAAAACAATCTAATTTCCCAGTTTTAACCCTTGATATGTTGTTTGTACATGGTTTGTAAATCCCTGTATTTGGGTTCTGGGCTTTTAAAAAAAAATCTTTCTGAAAATTTCACACATTTTTTTAAATGAAATAAATCAGAACAGTCATTGTGACTGTAGGGTTACTGCAACTTTCAGAATGAAGGCATATATTTTTAGGTTAGAAATGAATTCAAAATTCTTTACCTCTGATTGTTATTTGAAGAGAATCACAATGAGCTGTTGCCTTGAATGGTTCACTCTCTACTCTGAAGAAGTATGTGTCTGTGTATGTGGTGGTTAAATTAGAAAACAGAGTGGTGCAGTCTCTCTGACTCAGGTTCCCAGTAATACTCATTGGATAGATGCTAACTGCTCCACTACTGTTGAAGATCACATTGTTTCTGGTAACTCTATGATAACTTTTAATCCACACTCCAAAGGTTTTTCTTGTGCTGATAAATGTCTGTCCTTCTTTGGGTCTGAAGCTACATGAAATATGCAAACAAGATCCACTCAGTGCTTCCAGCTTCTTTGGAGCCGTTATGAAGAGGTCTGCTCCATCATGACAATCAGGCAAAGCAGCTGTAAGTACAGTGTCATGGTTAACAAAATGCTGTTCTTTTCATGTTTGCAGTTCAATGTTTATATGTAAGTGTTACAGTTTTCGTCAGGACATGAACAGTTGACTCTGTTTTCAAAGGTCTTCCATTTTGTTTCAAAATGAGGTTAAATTAAAAAATCTTTTCAACAATGCCTTTGAATAGCTGAACAATCACCTCACCTGAAAGAAAGAGACCAATCAGTAGCACACCGACAGTCAAAATGTTCACAGACAGAAACTCCTTCCCTGTGTTTACAAATAAAAAAGCAACGGCAAGAATTAGATAAACAGATAAAAAAGAAATAAAATCATTGTTTTGAATCATTTCACATGTGGAGCTTTTACACAATGTTGTCTTTAAACCAACTTTTCAATAAAAACTCACTCTGTGCAATCACATTTTTCATCCGTATCAGTGGTTTGTGTCATTTTTGTAATTTTTAAGTACACCTGTGGAACTATGCGAAAATAACTGAAATGCAATAAAAACAATATATCTCAGAGTTCATGTCAAATTAAAACACTAAATAAATTATTTGATGCATCATTTAGTTGCGGTGAAAAAAAAAAGTAAAATGTGCCTTGCAGAAGTGTGGAGTGTTAGTGTAAGATTTGTCACTGTGACCCAGAGTTTTTTAATTTTGGGAATGTTTAGGAGTTTTCTGTTTTGTTATCCTTGTATTATAGTTCTATATTTTGTATTTGTCGTCAGTCAGCATTTGTTATTATGTTGGTTAGTTTAGTCTTTGCCATCCTGTGTTTCTATGTAAAGTAAGTCTTGTCTCTGTGTGTCTGTCTGGTACCTCTGTTCTCTCTTGGTCCCTCACTCTCTTCCTTGTCTTGTCTCTGTCTCCTCCCTCTGTTCCCTGTATTTTGCCAGTTTGGATGTCAGTGTGTTTCCCATGTTTTCCTATGACTGGTCTCTCTCTGTTTCTGGATTTATTGTGTTAGTCTCTTGTCCCGTGTGGATTATATTTGGTTTTGCCTCCCCTGTTTCATTAGTCAGACTCATTCCAGCGGTGTTTCCACCTGTTGTATTTCCCAGTTTAGGTTCCTTATCATTTCCTAGTTTCTACATGTTTGATTAATCCAGCAATAAAGTTTTTGAGTTCAGCCCTGCTTTGTGTTCTGCATTTTTGGTCCTATCCTGCCTGCCTCCCACAGCATTACACAACAGGTTTATACTATTTTTACAGTAAAACATGCACCATCGTTGTTAGGAGGAAGTTTAGAAACAGGACATGCTGATTAAGAAAAAGTGTTAGCATGTTCACATGCAGGCACAAGCTTGTTCCCTTTTTAGGGAGCAAAATAACCTAGCTGTTTTAATGAAATAAAAGGCAATAAACAACCGATTCTGTCAATTTATACACATTGACAATAAAATGTTCTTTGTGTAGATTCTTGTAACAGAGATTTTTAATATGGAGAGTTATTTTATTTCCTGGTTAAATAAAGCTTTAAATAAAAATGTAATTAAATAAATAAAGAAGAATAACAAAATAAGTTTTAGTTTAAAACTTAAGAATAAAAAGCTGTAAAATGTTTGCTTACCCCACATTAAGCCTGCTGATGGTCTTATGAGTAAACTGAAGCAGCCTGTAGCAAATTTCAGGAAGAACATATAGAGACATCCACTGACTGCACTGCACTGCATAATGAAGTCAGTTTTGTCCTTCCTGCTTATTTCCTGTGAATGAAGTCAGATGATATCCTTAAACATATCTTTAGCTTGTATTTGTCAAAGCCTCAAAGCTTAACCTTGCAGTAATGTTTTAGTCATTCTCAGTATTAATATACAACTTTTGCTAATACAAATGATGCTGACATCAGAAGCAACATACTTGTAATGCACTGTAAAATAATCATATTAAAAATGAGAAAAGCAATAGCATAATATTATCGTGAAGTAAATGTTTTAGGTGGCTCGACATGGGTGAGCAAAGCACATAGTCTGGGAGGACAGAATGGAAACGGTCTTTGTTACACAATACACTGCCCCAGAAGAAACAGCCAGTATTTCAACAGGTGTGGAAAAAATGTCACCGTTACTCACCACAACCGGCTGCTCTGAAGTCCTGGAATCTGGCTGTGGTGAGGAGCATCGGCAGCATAGATGTTCCTTCCTCCTCAAAGGCGGGACACACAGGCTGGGCAGCAATTCCTCCAGTGGGCCGGGCAGGTAAGCGATTGCAGTTGGAGGATGAAGGTACAGGGTGTTGAGGAGAAAGTCCTGTATTAGCGGGTAAAGTGAATTCGGTAGACAGGGGAGACTTGAAACCAGTCGCTGTAGCTGGCTTGCTACAGCGCGATGACACTTGGAAAAAGGAAAGGTGCATAAAAAATATCTTGGCTTGTTCTTTCTGTTATTTATGTTTTGTTGTTTTTGGTGTTGTTTTATTTGTAATGTTTATACAGTGAAAACTTCTGTTTGTTTGCAAAGAGTCCTATTGGCATGACTGAGCTTCAATTCTTTCCCTGGAATCCAATCTGTCTGCAGTATGTACACACAGCACAACCTGTCACACCACTCCAGAACCTCCATTAAGTAACAGAAAGATAAACTTGATGGCTCACTGAACTTATCTTCTTGTGATTCCAAGTATTCTTGTGGCATTCATCAGTTTATTTTATTTCTGTGCTGAATCTCAATCATGGTAATCCTGGTAAACCAGCCCTACTATGTGCTAACATCGCTTTCTGCATGTTCACAAAAAGCATGTTGTGGTTTTTTTTCATACAAAATCAATTTCGAATGTGTTAGAGATTCAAATTTGTCTCCCATCACTAACAATCTGGCACATTATTTAGTCTCCTAAAGTTTGTTCTCCACTTTAGAGCAACCAAGAACTTTTTGCCACAGTTTTGAAAAGTGAAATTCAACTGGTTAGTACAACACTTTGTATTAGCAGATGTCTCTGTGTGTTGCATCCTTACAGTTTATGGATGCTGCTCACTAACCATGTTTGGTAGCATTAACACTTCGCCCTCTCATCCAAATATGGTCACTTCATTGTTACCTTACCTACCATTGTTAGCTTTTTTGTACAGTATATGGTCTGCATTTTAATTTTTTTGAGAAGAAACAAAATAAAACACCAACCAAATATAAAAAAGGCACATTAGTAAATATTCTGTCTGTCATCTCACACAGCTTACAAAAACAGTGTCTACTAGAGGTGAGGTCATCAATCTAAATATTGAGTACTAATGCTGGTACTGGATGTGCGATAACATCAATACTTTGTTTAATCCTCTATTAGGGTTGAAAATTATTGATTTTTGTTTTTTATTAAATTATTAGATAAAGCTGTTTTTTTATTTTATTTATACGCAATGCAATTTTGCTCATAAACGAGTTGGCGCTTTGTTTTGAGAGTAATAAACTTCATCCGGCGCTATGACTGGGGTGAAATATTGAAGAGTGGGCATACAGCGTTTGAGGGTCCTTTTTGCTGCATGCTTACACATATACTGATAATGGTTAGAATAGTCTCAGGAAGTCCGAACAAGATGTCCGGAAATGGGCCTTAGAAATCAACAGATAGCCAAGGCTGCGCAGGGGTTGTTTTTCTTTTCTGTCTTTCTGAGGAGGAGCAGATACGAGGTGAGGTCGGACTGAGCGAGGAGGATTCGCAGCAGACTGCCACGTTTGTGTTGGGAGAAGATAGCTATAATAATCTTTGTGATTGTCGCAGTATAAAACCTGCACTGCCTGATTCAGTGTCATCTTTTCTTTGAAGCAGTTCCCTGGTTCACACAAAGGTACAGTACTGTAAAACTTGTCATTTCAACTGCTGAAGCAAATTAAATCTTTTTAAACGACAGATATTTTCTCCTGAATTCCTTCTGAAAATTTTAAACATGACACCTCTAAGTTCAGTATAAAGCCCTCTGAACTGTGATATATAAATCATTTTTTAGAAATGAAAAAATATACCTAAAACATGGACTATGAAAAATCTCTTTGACAGGCACATTTACGTTCCATGTCTCCAAAAATCCACTTTAAAATGACATTAAATGCTTAAAGGTGTGTTTTGTTGTGTTAACTAATCATTGTGGAACGTAAGTAACACTGAGATAATGGTCATTTGAATTGTTCAGTATTGGCAAATTGATGATAATTCATCTCACAATGCTCATTGAGACACTGTTTGCAGTGCAAACATAATCAACAATAACTTCTCATCCTTCACAACAACATGGTAGATCTTGTGAAACACCAGCATTTCACAATGGACTTTTATACAAACAATCAAATCTGCACAATAAGTATTTCAATGGTGTTTTGCCCATCTAACATTTAACACCTTGGTGTTGATTGGTAACTGAAGAGTCTCTGCTATCGTACAGCCCCAGTCCACTGCATTTAAAGAAAGCATTTTACCTGGGCCAGTGGTCAGTCTCTTGAGGTCACATGTCTCCCAACTGAAAGCAATATGACTTTGATGTCAATGTTTTAGTTACATTTTTGAAACTTTTCAAGTGTTTTTTAAAGAAGTTGTGTTTCGCTTCATAGCGCATGCACCAGCTATGTAAAAGTGGTCCTGTTTTGAGTAAACATGTAGGATAATGTATCATGAAGATATCTTGGAAGGATAATTCTGTTGTTCTTCAGGTGAACAACAGAGGTGAGCTGTTCTGTTGAACTACTTCCAGATGATTTCACCCACAAACACCATTCCAACTTTAAAATGTTCTCCCATTCTTGATCTATCACTCTATAACTCAGCCCTTTCATATCTCTTACCATTGTCCTACAATGAATTTTTAACTTTTGCATGAATCATGAGGACAGAACATGGGTTGCTATCATTGCTAAGGGCACTCTGAACAGAGCACGCGTTGAAAAGTTTGAATCTGTTGTTCATGTCTGAACAAATACTCACTCAATTTTCGCTCCATCCACACAAATTATACATCAAAATGTAGGTATTGTTTTTGGCTTTCAGAAAATGTCATTGCATTATTGTTGGAGGTTCAGTTGCAGTTCTCTCGCAAATTGCCTCATAGCAACACAAGGTCGGAAAAATCCCAATTCAAAGTCTACAGAGACTTCATGAAAATCAGAGCTGAAATTCTGTAACGGGAGGCATTTTCCCCTCCTCATATCTCTCAAACCATGGGCTGCAGAGACATGAGCCTTGTGCCAATATATCTTCAGACACTGCTGACGCTCACAGTGAAATGTATTTTGCATGTGGTGTGAAATGCCCATGTAGAAAGGACGGCACTGTGACACTGGACTTGCTCTTACTCTGGGTTCCCTCTTTATTCTGGTAACTGATACAGAGGAAACAGCACAGAGTCGACGTCAACAGTGTTATGAAACTGCAACATTCGGTCCTGATAACAAGGATTAGAACAGTTACAATCTCATAGAAAACATTAACACTAGAAAGCAGAAAGCACCCAACAAGCTAACTAGTATTAGCTTACCATGCTCACCAAAAATACCAAGTAAGCCATTGCAAGTTAATCACTTCGGATATTTCCTGCAACACATTTAAGACTTCACACTGATACTACTGATGCTACTGTCCTCTGTTTCAGCCCTTTTACCATCACTCACTGACCTGTCCCCAGACTGCAGCCCATGTTTGGCTTCCTCTGAATATCACACTTTAAGCCTCAGTCATAGCTGGACTGGCCATCGGGCCCGCTGGCCAGTGGTTTTTATGGTTTAAAAATTTTTTTTTTTTTATAACAGTATAAACAATGAAAGGTGATGGATTGGCCAGATGCTGGCAAATGTGTAAAATAACTCAGTTGTTTGGTGGTGGCTATGGCGGAGCTGCCACAAGAGACCAGCAGGTAGATGAGGTAAAGGGGAGGCAGGAGGAGGAGAGACCCGAGGTGGCCGCCGGTCCGAGTGTCAGGTGAACTGAATTTCAGGTAAGAAGTTATGACCTGCAGTCTATCTGGGTCAGATATAAACCAAGTTTAGGTGGAGTTTATTTTCGTTGTGCTGAGTTTTTACCGTCAGTTACAATAACTTGTACTAGCTAGCATGACGGAGTTTCTATACAGCTGGGTGGGTGCTATGGTACTGATAGTGAACTTTATTTAATTCATAAGGTTAGTTAGTAGAGTTGCCAACCGTCCTGTAAAAAGACGGAATCGTCCCGTATTCAGAGAAAATCTTAGGGAATCTTTGAAAATTACTTCCTCTGGTTGTTAATGCATAATAAAATCGAAAACCTTCACTGTTCTCTGTCTTTCTGCCTGCTTCACTATCTACACACACAGACAGTTTTTTTAGGCAAACTCCTCACACACACATACAGAGATCAAGGTCTCATCTGCACAGAGACATTGTACATTAGAGAGAGTTACTGATTTATGATTGTATTTTGATTACATTTCTGATTTGATTACAGCAGAAATAACTACCAGCAAAAGTTCTAAAACTCTGTCAGTCTATGCTACATTACAACCACAAAGGCTGGATTTCAGGTATTTTGCCTAATTTCTGTTGAAGCTAAGCCAAGGGATCTCAGGCTTCTTGACAATAATTATTGAATAACCATTGTTATATAATTATTTATTTTACAGGATTTTCAGTTGCAGTTTCCAAGAATGTTTGTAATGTTATATCAGTGAGAGGTCTGAGTTTGTATGTATATAAAGCGGTGACTAAACCACCCTGAGAACAAACTGAGGGCTGAATAAGAACATAAATGAAAAACACTGTCGAAATGCAAGCATCCTTATTTTAAATGCTAAATTCTTACTTCAGTAAGTCTATTGTCCCGACATTTCTGTAAAATGTCAAAAGAAACATATTTAAAAAAAACTGTACCAGAGTACCAAAAGCCTGTTGAAAGGGTTTCATCATCAACAGAAAAATTCAAAAAAGACAAAAAATATTTTGAAAAGTATTTGATTTGACAAATCACCATGGCATATATAGAAATACAAAAAAAATGCAAGTTAGGTTTTTACGTTTAGTTTTTAAGTTAAGTTACAAAAATAGTTTACTGATTTTGTTATGCTTTTAAATGATCCGACAACAACCCACTATTTCTATTCACTGAGATCTGTTTGGGGGGGGAATAAATGAATAGATTATTTGTGCGTACTGTTATGTTTCTAAACAAAACTCCTAGATGGAGTGATTTTTATAATAATTTTTTGTATTTTACCACTAAGATTATACATGATTTGTCATTTACATCTATCAACATAAACATTGCTGTCATGGTCTGGGTCTGATGACCCAGAGCTCATGTATTTCTTGTATATGTTTTTCCATATCGTTAGCTTCATAGCATAAGTGCCTAAGTCATTTTTTTGTGTTTTGTGTTTCAGACGGACAGGATGATGCAGCAGTGGTAGGGGAGTAAAGTTAGGCAAAAATCTCAATTTGACCAAAAAATGACTTAGGCACTTATGCTATGAAGCTAACGATATGTTATGGTGGTTTTCTCTCCCTTTTTGTCCTTTCTCCCTGTGTGCTCCCGGATGTTTTGGGGTTGATGAGGGGACTGCGAAGTGTTCCCGCACTGGGTCGTAGTCTCTTCCTCAAAATCCGATACCAGTGACTTAGTATAATCCCGCGCCGACTGGGGCTCCGCCACCTTCTTAAATAAGGCGCCCCTCATGAAGCCATCAGCTGCAGCTGGTGAGGGCTAATGGGCGGCAGGTGCGGCAGTC